AAATCTTCTAACGATTGAATCGTCCTCTTCGTCTGTCCATCAGTCTGAGGATGGTAAGCTGAACTCAACCTCAATTTAGTACCCAAAGCCTTCTGCAATCCTTCCCAAAATTTCAAAGTGAATCTCGGATCTCTATCTGACACAATACTAGAAGGAACTCCATGCAAACTCACTATTTTCTCAATATACAACTGGGCCAATCTCTCCATTGAGTAATCCATCCGCATCGGTATAAAATGAGCAGACTTAGTCAGTCTATCCACAACAACCCATATCGCTTCACAATTCTTAGGAGTCCTCGGCAACCCGGATACAAAATCCATAGAAATACTATCCCACTTCCATTCTGGAATAAACATCGGTTGCATAAATCCAGACGGCTTCTGATGCTCGATCTTCGATTTCTGACAGATTAAACATGCATACACAAATTCAGCTATTTCCTTTTTCATTCCCGGCCACCAAAATAATTTCTTCAAATCATGATACATTTTCGTGGCACCCGGATGAATACTCATCCCACTGCGATGTCCTTCCTCTAATATACTCTTCTTGATTTCTGCAACATCAGGAACACAAACTCTATCGCCAAATCTCATAACATCATTTTCATCAATTCTAAACTCACCACCTTGACCTTGGTTGATCAATGTCAATTTATCAACTAAATTAACATCATATTTCTGCCCGATCCTGATCTCTTCTAGAATACCACTAGTAAGTCTCAACATACCCAAACGAACACACTTCGGAGTACTTTCACAAATTAAACTCAAATCTCGGAATTGTTCAATTAAATCCAATTCACGAACCATCATCATAGACATATGCAAGGATTTCCTGCTCAAAGCATCTGCAACCACATTTGCCTTACCAGGATGGTAATTCAAACCAAAATCATAATCTTTGAGAAATTCCAACCACCTTCTTTGCCTCATATTGAGCTCTTTCTGATCGAAAAGATACTTCAAACTCTTATGATCACTATACACTTCAAATCTCGAACCATACAGATAATGTCTCCACAATTTCAAGACAAACACAACTGCTGCTAACTCTAAGTCATGAGTAGGATAGTTCCTTTCATGAACCTTCAACTGTCTCGAAGCATACACAACTACCTGTTGATTCTGCATTAAAACACCACCTAATCCCATCAGAGATGCGTCACAATAAACCACAAAAGATTCCACCGGATTCGGCAAAATCAGAATAGGAGCACTAGTCAATCTCCGCTTCAATTCTTGGAAACCTTTCTCACAATCAGAATCCCAAATAAACGCTTGTCCTTTACGAGTCAACTTCGTCAATGGCAATGCTAACTTTGAGAATCCTTCGATAAACTTTCTGTAATAACCTGCAAGACCAAGAAAACTTCTGATTTCAGAAACAGTCTTCGGCGCTTTCCACTGGGATAACGCTTCTACTTTTGTAGGATCCACTGCAATACCATCCTTAGAAATCACATGTCCAAGAAAACTAACTTCATTCAGCCAGAACTCACATTTGGACAACTTTGCATACAACTTCTTATCTTTCAACAACTCTAACACAATTCTGAGATGTTCCGCATGTTCTTCGTCATTCTTGGAATAAATCAGAATGTCATCAATAAAAACCACAACAAACTTATCCAGATACGGATGAAAAATCCTGTTCATGTACTCCATGAAAACACCAGGTGCATTAGTAACTCCGAACGGCATAACAGAATATTCATAATGCCCATACCTCGTTCGAAAAGCAGTCTTTTGAATATCTTCCGCTTTCACACGAATCTGATGATATCCAGATCTCAAGTCAATCTTACTGAATACACTGGCTCCAATTAGCTGATCCATTAAATTATTAATCCTCGGTAATGGATATCGATTCTTAATGGTTACCTTGTTCAATTGCCTGTAATCAACACACAGTCTCATAGAACCTTCTTTCTTCTTGACCAACAATACCGGAGCACCCCAAGGCGAAACACTTGGACGAATAAACTTCTTCTCCAGTAAATCTTCCAACTGACTCTTCAATTCCGCCAACTCAGATGCAGACATACGATATGGTGCCATCGACACCGGTCTCGTACCAGGAATCAAATCTATAGAAAATTCCACTTCTCTCTCAGGAGGTAACTCACCAACATCATCAGGAAAGACTTCTGGAAAATCACACACCACTGGCAATTCATCACTCCTGACCTTTCCTGTTGCATCTAACGAAGCAAGTAACATAAACACATTAGCACCGTCTTCCATTGCTTCTTGTACCTGCCTAGCAGTCATAGTCAAATTCTCGACACCAACTACCTCTGGGAAAATCACCGTCTTAGCAAAACAGTTCAGATGGACCCGGTTGAATTCCAACCAGTTCATCCCAAGGATAATATCAACTTGTTCAAGCGGTAGGCACACTAAATCCATACTGAAACCTCTACCAAAAATCTCAATAGGACAATTCCTACATACTAGTGAAGTTGTCACTGAACCCGATGCAGGAGTATCAATAACCATGCTACCTCGCATATCAGATATGTCCAGTTTCAACCTCTCAGCACAATCCAAGGAAATGAAAGAATGAGTTGCACCAGTATCAATAATTGCAACTAAAGGTGTGCCATGAATAAAACACGTACCTTTAATCAATCGATCCTCTGGAGTAGTCTCAGATCCAGACAAAGCGAACACTTTTCCACCTGACTGGTCCTTCTTAGGTTTAGGACAGACGGATGTGACCTTCTTCGCCACAATTGTAACAAGTAACAGACTTCCCTTTGCAATCAATAGACAAATGACCAGTCTTTCCACATTTATAGCACTTCTTCTCATCGCTCTTGCAATCTCGAATATGATGACCAAACTCACCACACCTGTAGCATCTGATAGGAGCCTTAGAATCTCCCCCACTAGGCCTTTTCCATCCACCTGCTTTCTGGTTACCTCTACCATATGGCTTGCCACGGTCCATATGTTGCTTTCCTCTTTTATCAACAGCCCCACGAGAGTGAGACGACCTAGTCTTGGTAATATCTTCTTCCAAGATCCTGCTACAATCCACCAGATCAGAAAATCTACGAATACGCTGGTACCTGATTCCCTGCTTAATCTCATCTCGGAGACCATTCTCAAATTTGATACACTTAGAGAATTCTCCAGCCTCATCATTGTTGTAGTGCGCATAATACTTTGCCAACTCCGTGAACTTAGTAGCATACTCACTAACAGTCATGTTGCCCTGCTTAAGCTCCAAAAATTCAATTTCCTTCCTTCCCCGAACATCTTCGGGAAAGTACCTCCTCAGAAAAGCCCTTCTGAAGTTAGCCCAAGTCAGTGCCTCTCCATCCTGAACCATTTCAGTCCTTGTTGCAACCCACCAGACAGTGATATTCAGACTGTTCTATTATAGAATTTGAATTTGCTTCAGTTATGATTGATTGTAGATATGGTTCACCCTAATTTATTCCTGATGTTATCTCTGACACTACTCTATATATGGATGTTAAAATAGGTGATATCTATGTAGCAGTTGGAAAATAATTTATAAATAAATTAGAGTTTTCTATACGTGACCATATGCTTCAATGAGTTTTCACGAAGGATGCAAAATTATGGTTGGATATTGCAAGTGGAAGTTCAGATTTGGTTTTTATAGAAGACTGACATTTATGATGAGATGTGAAAGAAGCGGTAAGTATAGAGCCCCTATTTGAAAGTTGAAATACAATTACAGTGGAACGAGGAAATATGGGTGTCTTTTTATGTTGTGCAGGTACTTCAAGGCGAATAACACATGGACATTTAATGTGATTTGTGGTAAACATAAACATGATTTATGTTATAAGTTATCCGGTCACCCCATTCTATGTCGTCTGAATTCAGAAGAGAAGAAACTTGTCTTTGACATGATATTGAACATGGTTCAACCAAAAATCATTTTGTCAACTTTGAAACGAAAAAGATCTGAAAGTGTCTCAAACATTAGGCAAGTCAACAGTGTTTGCACCTTAACAACAAGGAGAAAAGATGTTTATGATCTGAAATGCAACAAATGTTGAAGCTTTTGGATGATGATTGTTATACCCTAATTTTTCCCCCTAAGACCCCTCATCATTTCATTCATCGCATTTGCATTATTAGTCGGTGATTCGTGCATTTAGGTTGACCAAAAACCAACTTAAATCAACATTTGCATCGTTTTAGAGTTAAAAAATACTCGTTATTTCACTGCATGCATTTTTATCTCTTTACCTGCTTCTTACATTGCATCAAGTTGTTTATACTTCAATAAAATTGATATTTTGATTTTACAGACAGACCGTTAAAAGTGATTCGACATTGTACGAAAAACTTGCGAGAAAATATTTCAAGTTTTCACCTTTATCTGACTGTTTTATAAATCTTCGTTGCGCGTAGATCATGTAGGTATTCTCACTTTATTTTTTCGGTACAGTTTACAGTCTCTTTTTTAATTGTCAGCGTTTGTTCGACCTGATATCCTTATTCTCATTTTGATTTTGATTTGATCATTTGAATATTTTTATTAATCTTTATGATCTATAATTTATTTTAATATGTTCATTTTTTTCCAGTTAATTTAGTATCTGTATTTTATCATTTTTTCATTATCTTAAATATCTCTTTTTTATTCTAAAAAATTAAAACAAAAATATTTTTGAATAAATTTATTTTTTCTCTTGTATTGTTTCATGTCAAACTTATCCAAAAGGACATTATTGGCATTTTGTAGAATAGAAAACCTAGTTTTTATGTATATAATAGAATAGTTTGTTGTTGATTTTAGGGATCAGAAAGAGAAAGAAATGTGAACAAAGGTTTAGGACTTGTTTGGGGAATCCGACATAGTTTACGATACCCTCCGCCTCACTTGTTCAACTCATAAACTCCTTCCGTCGGTCTTCTCCACACAAACCCACGGTCTCCTCTTCCTAACAACTTCCGCTAACTACCTTTCGTGTACTGCCTCCACCGCTTCGTAAACCCATTACCTCTTCATCTTTTCCCACCACTGACCACTGCGCTTTCAACATTCTGCAAGCAGAACTTACTCCCTCCGCAACATACTTCCCTCTCATACCCTTCTACTTCCGTTCTGCCACACTCCAACAACAACTCAACACCACCATCACCACCAAGCCTCACTTCCTCCATTGTTGGTAAACTCTCTTTTACTACCATTCCTTTTTGTCTAATTAATTTGTTTGTTGGATAACTTGTGGTTTGTATATTGTTGATGACGAGTGAATAAATTGTGATATTATTGCTGTGAGTGGGGATTGATTTTGTGAATATATGTTGAAGATAGATGATATTGAATTGAGTTAGTGATGACATTGTTATGAGCTTAATGATGAAATTAAGGGTGGTATTGACATTGTTATCATTGTTGAAGATGATGTTTAATGACATTGTGGTAGTTTGAAGAGGATTGTGATGACATTTTATTCTTCAATTGTTTGATTCATATTGTTGTTGATTTGGGGTTTAGGGATCTTTATGTTAATTCTATTTTAATGTTTGGTATTAATGGTTTAAGTGAATTAGTAGTAAGCTTGTGGACCATAGCATAATTGTGATGAATTGAGTACCCATTTGTGAGGAATTTTAGGCGCCAATTTCATTTGGTTTGGTGGAATTTGGTTGAGTTATGAGGGTGTCAGTGTATAACTCTGAGTTGATTTTAGTGACACTTTTGAGCTTCTAAATTGACCCGGAATTGATTTTTGATTGATACCATTTTGGTTCAACTTGTTATTTCATTTTCCCTCTTGTTTAGAACTTATTTGAGGTGAGTTTTGAACCTTAATTGGTGTTTTTTGGTTGCTGCCCGAATTTTGTAAAAGTGCTAAAATCTTGATTTAATTTCTTATTTTGCTCATTCTTGATTCAATTTGAGATACCATGAGGTTATTTATAATTGTTGATGGTTAGAATATGTGTTTATGTTCCTAATGTGGTTTGAAGTTTGTTTTGATACTTAGAAGTTTTCACGAGACTTGAAAATTTGTAAATTGCTTATTCTCGAGACTTCACACCTTTTACCATGTCTCTTGTTAATTCACAAGTGGATTTGATTTCCAATTGATTCATGTCTTTATTTCACTTCATGTATGTGATTCTTTGGTTGAGGGAAATATTCATTTATCCTATGATTGTAAGTTCTCGTTTGTCTCTTTTAATCCGTCTTGTAATAACAAGTTTGCTACTATGAAGGCTTCCAAGGATGCTTCAAACATTCATAGCCTCTTGGCATCTCTTTGTTGTTTTTAATTAATTAATTAAAGATCGATTTTAATTAATTAATTTTGTTACTAAAAGTTAATTAGCTTTGTTAATTAATTTTTTTAAACCTAATTAATTAATTTGATCAACTTTTAATTAATTAATTAGGTATTTGTTTCATATTCTGTTTATTCTAGTTTTGTCTGGTTGTGTTATTTTTCCTCTGATGCAGGAATTGGAATTCTTATTCGATACTTCAGATTTATCTGACGCACTTTCTACTTGTGATTTATTCTTACTTGATGTTGACCGTTGACACAATCTTTGTGCATTTGAATACTAATTCGATTGCTTGTTGGGGAAGCTTCAGCGAGGATTCTTGAACTTTTGCGCGCGTTAAAAAGACGACGAACCTTCTTCGTTTGGTATCCCTTGAGATCTCTTTACTATCTCATTCTTACATTGTTTTCAATTAATCTTGCCATGATAAGTAGGATAGAGATTGTGATCGGTGGATCTGGAACTGACAGTTTAACGCTGGTTCACGAAGATGTCGCGGAAGCAAGAGTCGCCACCGTCTTTTATTTTCTCCAAATGGAAAGGACAAAAGCACAGAAAAATTCCTTAAAGAGATTGCTCTCGGTTCGGGAGGTAGATTATAGAAAGAGAAGGTGTTAGCACCCTTTCTATCCATGGTTATCCATGGGCTCTTAGATACTTGCTCATTTGTGTTTTCAAAAATGGTTTGTTTGCTTTTCAATTGTGGGTTTTAAAAAAAGTTTCTTTGAAAATTTCAGTTCGACTCTTGTATCTGTCCTCAAGAGTGTTTGAAAAATTGCTTTCGAAAGCTTTTTGAAAATGTGTTGGTGTGAAAAGTATTTTTTGAATTTGTCTTGAAATTTAGAGCAAGTATCCACGAGTCGTCTACCTACCCTAAGGAATTCGTCTGTGTAAATGTCCTTTAAAGTAGTGCCATCCCACCATTGAGAGGTAGGTAGCACCACCGTTGGAGGTGTTCGGGTCAATTCGAAGTTCGGAACATGGTGATCACCAGAGCAATAGGAAGATACCTTAGAAGCTACCCTCATGCCAGGTTCCCGGATCATGAGGACTTACTAAGACGTCCTCTACTCGACGATCACCTTTCGAGGCAAGGCAACAGTGAGGCGTACCCTAGGGGTGGTGTGTGATTTGTGTGTCAAATTCATTTATTTTTGTCTTTTCATGTCATGGGTGGTCTATGCGTTTGTTTTTATTTTCGTCATTCATTCTTGCATGCAATTTATTAGCAGTTAAAAAGTTGCGGAAATTAAAGGTTCTACGCTATTACAAAGGCGCGGGTCCACATCGCCAAAATTAAACCAGGACCCGATTTGACATAAAATAAAGAAATAAAATGCGGGAAATATAAAATGTCCGAGTTACATGGCTTGAGCAATTACATAATATTTGAAAGAAAATAAATGTGCGAAAGAAATAAAAATAGAACGTTCGAGGGCGTTGGACCCTTTAAAGAAATTAAATGAAATTAAAAATTAATTAATTATTTATTGAAATAAAAGAAGTGTTTTTTAGGTTTTTTTTTGTATTTATGAAATAAGAAAATTAAAATTAAAATTAAAAGAAACCCTAATTCTAAGTTATTTTTAATTATTTGAGAAAAATGTTAAAGTTTAACTTAATTTACTAAAGAATTTATGTACATGTTTATTTACAAAAATAAATTAGTAGTTAATAATAATAATAATGATGAGAAAATTATTTATTAAAAAAATGATGAAAAAGTTAAAAACCCTAATTTCTACATATTTAATTTATTAAGAAAAATATTAAAGTTTTGAAACCTAAATTCATCTAATTAATTGTTTAAAGTTTATTTACAAAAATAATAATAGTAAAATTAATATTAATAAAATAAACATTTTTTGATTTTTCTGTATTTTATATTTATTATGAAAATTATTTTATGGAATTAAAAGAAAACAATTAAAAAACAATTAAAAGAATAAAAAGGAAAAACAAATAAAAATTAAAAATTGAGCAAACCATAGGGGGTGTCTGGCCCAAGGGGAGGTTTTTTGAAGTATTGACTCCTGAGTACCGTGGTCTGCATTCTTTGGCCACTGAATTGAGTTTCATGCATAAGTTGTTCTACTTTGGCCATTTGGCTTTTGGCTTTTGGCTTTTGGCCATTTGTGTTCTGGCTTCAACGTTCCCTTAATGTCTGGCTTAATGTCTGCCTCGCCATGTATTGGTGTCATGCATAAGTTTTTCTAGTCTGACCATTTGGCTTTTGGCCATTTGGCTTTTGGCCTCAACGTTCCTTAATGAACCTGCCTGGGATCCTGTCTAAATCTGCAGTGTTGAATCTCACAAACACATCAAATAAAATCATAAAATGCAAATAAAGCCAATATATGAAGAAATTTAATGTTTAGGCACAATATGGCATGTATGAATGATTATACCCTTTTGATCATGAGGATCAAATCAACCTTACCCTTACTGGAAAAGTAGTGACATGAATGCTTTTATGCCCTTTGGATCATGGAGATCAAGCCAGCCTTACCCTTACTGAAGAAGTAATAAGATGTTGGTTTGTAACTGAGATGGCTTTGTTTGTAGTGAGAGAGAGATTTGTAATAAGGATTTCAAGGTTTTAGGGTTCTTGAAAGAGTTTGATATTCTGACAGTGTTGTGGCAAGGTTTTTTCTCTCTTTTTTTCCTCTCCTCTTTTTTCTTTTTTTCTCTCCTTTGGTTTGTGTGACAAGAAGGTGATTATATAGTGGAAATTAGGGTAAAGAAAATGGGCTTTGAATGTGCAATTGGGCCTCTAATATTCACTTGAATTCGTCACTTTCCAGGCTAAATCGCAGGGACTTAAGTGCATTTTTTGAAGTTGAAATGTGAAAACAAAATGTAGCCGACATTGAGAACTAACTCCTGTCCGAAAATCGACTCAATCGGATAAACGGTGAATTAGTTATGAATTTTTGAAGTTTCAGCTCAGACAAACTTATTTTGGGCTCCAGTGTCGACTCGGACACGTTCTTCAATAAAAAACTGGTATTGATCGGTGCATAATCCGGTCTCGACTTTTGAAGCAAAGTTGTAGATCTACGAGTCAGGGACCTTGTGTAAAAATATGAGCCCAATCCGATAAAAATTGACCGAGTTATGAATTTTCGAAGTTTCGGCCCAGATAAAATAATATTCAGCATTCAGGATTTTCAGCGTGTCACGCACTCTGAGCAAAAAACGAAGGCCTTTTGAATACCGTTTGAACTCAATACCTTCTGTGAAAATGTAGTCAACTCAATTTGTGAAATTTTGGCACCGGAACCAGCTCGATACGATGAAAATCGACCAAGTTATGATTTTTTGAACATGACGCAAATAATCTTCTGTCACAAATTTTCTGCACGAAAATACTTGATAAATCCACATTTTTGAAGACCTTCTGATCGAAATTGGCTTCCAGCCGTGAGAGATGAAAACATAGATAATGTCAAGACGAAATTTTGGCCACCGGAACGGGTTCAAAACGAGCCACGATCTTCAAGTTATGAATTTTTTAGCGCGTAAAAACTGCACTTTCAGCACACTTTTTCACCATATTTCTTCGAGAAAACTCACACATTCGGATACCTTCTTTAAAGAATTGACTCTTGAGCCGAACCTGAATTTGAGAATATGCTATCAGAGATATCTTGGCGAAAGAATACCTGAATATGACGCGCCAGGTTGGACTTGTGAATTTTTCTTGAAATGTTTTTTTGAGAAATATGAGAGGGCAAATTTTGGGGTACAACAGAGATGCATGGCTGAAAGTCCTATCGTCGTAGGCAATGTTCGATCTGGAAGTCTTACTTATAGGCCATGTTCTTGGTTTAGCTAGCTCATTTATGCGTTTCGTTTGTGCCATAGCGTCAAGTCGTGTAACTGAGGTCAATTTAGTGGAAAGAGCTCGCATTCAGCTCCCATGTGAAAGTCTGATTGGGACAATAGTCTTTGGTTTAGTTTTGACGAGACATAGCTCACGTTTCATTTACGTTGATGTTTCGAGTCATATTTTATTGTCGTGTAATTGAGGTCAATTTAGTGGAAGAAAGCTCGCATTCAGCTTCCACACGAAAATCCGAATGTGATACATGTCTTTTTGTTTCTTCATTTCCCTAATGCATGTT